AAATCTTGGAAATGCCATGAGGGCAGCATTTCAACCTCCTAATTATCAGCAGTATTTACATCAACAACTCAAAAGACCTTGGCAAACCAGCACTGTGCAAGAGTACACATCCATATTTCAAAATTTAGTTGGCCAGGTTGAGGGCATGGGGGAATTAGATCAAATAACTTATTACATAAATGGATTGAAGCCATCAACAAAGATGGAAGTGGCATATCAAGCCCCTGATACATTAGAGAGAGCTATAGCACATGCCATCCAATACGATACTGCCATGTTTGGGATGGGAAGACCTTTTTCAAACAACAATCAACATAAAAAATCCTCCCACTCAGGATGAGCCCAAAGGAATAATCATTATACTCATTACAATGGTAGTAATAATAATCATAACTATAATAATAATGACAATGGTAATGGTAAATATGTACCTATGGAATTGGATCAGGTAGAAACTCAATGAAATTTCTATAATATTAGTAATAACAACAATAGAGGAAATGATAAAAAAATTTTTAAAGGAAATTGTTATAAATGTGGGAAGCCAGGCCATTCTGCTAAGAATTGTTGGGCCAAGAACAAATCTAAGGTCAATACTATAGAATTATCATCACCATCACCATCATCATCATCACCATCATTATCATCATCAACTAATAGTTTAGAATTGGTCAATGATGAGGGTAATCAAGAAAATTTGTTGAGATTCAAAGGCAAGGTTAATGGATATCCAGCATGGATATTACTTGATAGCAGAGCTTCTAAAAATTTTATTAATGAAAATTTTGTATTAAAGAATAAGATTATCACAAAAGAGATGTTGCCTATGAAAGTAGAACTAGCAGATGGATGAAAATCAACAACAAATAGAATCGTAGAAATTAAAAATTTAGAATTAGGAATTTATCAAACATCAGGAATAGACATGCAAGTGATGTAGATACAGAGATATGATATTATCTTAGGAAAGCCTTGGTTATATATCATGTAAATCCAACTATAGATTGGTAAACAAATACCTTGACTTTCATTTATGGTACCAAGAAAATTGTAGTTAAGGCCCCAAAAACTTCTAGTGAAACAAGTTGTAATTCTGTTTATATCTCTAGACAACAATTTTCAAAGATTCCCAAATTTTTGCTGTTTATGTTAATAGTATAAAAGAATTAGAAGTAAAGAAGAATATTATACCAGAGGTAAACAAGATTTTGAAAGAGTTTGCTGATGTTTTTCCTACAACACTTCCAGAGAAATTACCACCAAAACATACCATAGATCACACTATAGATCTTGTTCCAGGAACAGAACCTCCAATCCACCCGATCTACAAGATGTCTTATACAGAATTAGATGAATTAAAAAAGCAATTGGTCAACTTATCAAAAAAAGGATATATTCAACCAAGTGTGTCACCTTTTGGAGCACCAGTCCTTTTTGTTAATAAAAAGGATGGAACACTTAGACTTTGTGTAGATTACAGAGCTCTTAACAAGATCACAATAAAGAATCATTATCCTCTTCCAAGAATAAATGAATTAATGAATAGATTAGTAGGTGCACAATATTTTACTAAAATAGATTTTTATTCAGGTTACCACCAAATACAAATCAAACCTGAGGATGTTCATAAAACTGCTTTTTGAACTAGATATGGTCATTATGAATTCCTTGTACTTCCCTTTGGTCTGACTAATGCTCCAGCAACATTCATGATTTTGATGAATGATATTTTTCAAGAATTTTTAGATCAATTTGTAATTGTATATTTGGATGATATTTTAATTTATAGCAAAACAAGGAAAGAGCATTTACAACACTTGCAACAAGTTTTACAAACTCTCAGAAAACATCATTTATATGCCAAGCTTAGTAAATGTGAAATCTTAAAACAAAAAGTTGAATACTTGGGACATTATATTTCATCTGAAGGAATATCTGTTGATTCATGAAAAATTGCAGCAGTCAAGAAATGGCCTATACCTACTAATGTATCAGAGCTAAGATCTTTTCTAGGACTTGCTAGTTACTATCAAAAATATGTTAAAGGATTTTCTACCATTGCTACACCATTGACTTTGTTGTTACATAAAAACCAACCATACAAATGGGATAATGCACACACAACAAGTAGCTTTTGATGAACTTAAGAGATTGTTAACACCTGCACCTGTATTAGCACTTCCAGATCCAACTAAACCATTTACTCTAACTACAGATGCATCTGATATTGCCATTGGAGCAGTGAAAATAGTAAATTATAGATCACGGGAAACGAACATATAAATCGGAAATGATTTACATGTATCACAAAGTGAAAATTTGGAAGCGATTATCACGGAATAACTCAACAAGAAATAAATTTGATAAATGTTACACTAATCCATAAGACGCACCAATCAAATAAATAGCTCTCGGAAAATAACCCAAATATTGGAGATATAAATATTCCAACCTTCTAAAGTGTAACGAATTACAAAGTCTCAGAATAATATTTAAATGAAAGAATTTTATATGACTCACATTGACTAGAAATTACTTGAAAATAATTCTACATGGAAGGTTTAAATAATAATCAAGGAAAATATTAATTAGTATAAATTAGGACTTTAATGAAGTTGGATAACTAGATAATAGAACCTTTAACATGTATAAATACATTGTAGATTTCTCTTTCATGAAATAATTAGTTAATCAGTTAATTCATTCTTAACTTTTATCTTGTAATAACAATAATATCTTAATAATAAAATATGAACATAAATATCTCTTAAAATAATCTATTGCCAGTGGAATTATCCACCCATATAAACCTTTTGCTCTAAATTAAATTAATTAATTACTATCTTACCAGGGGGACGCCTTTGATAAGTATAGTTGTGTGTGTATTTTCTTTTAATTTTATTTCTTTATTTTTATTTAGATTAGGTCAACACCTAAATAGTGAAAATCCTAGCTAGGTGTGGTCAGTAAAAGATACTGGACCATAAATATAATAGTCAGTGGAGAAAGTATCACAGCGGATACTTCAGATATTATAAATATCATTGAGACATGCTGGCTCAGGCAGATAACAAAGAGCTGCTGAGAAAACGTTACTGGAAGGGAAGTAAGGAAACTTGCCCTGTAAATAATTAAATAGCTTGAGTGCTATTATTGAGAGAAAGTAATCAAAGAATTACTTAAGTAGATACTACCATAAAACAAGAGAAATAATATTTTAATCAAATCCAAGAGATTTGTGTGAGATGCGGATTTTGATCTCACAGCAGTACTAAGCTGAGATCAAGGAAAAGGAGAACAACCTATAGCATATGAATCAAGGAAATTATCACTAATTATCCTGTACATGAGAAAGAACTATTGGCAATTGTACATGCAATCAAACTTATTTAGAAGGAGAAAAATTCACTGTTGTCACTGGCCATGCATCATTAGAATTTATTAAGACACAAGCAAATCCATCACATAGACAAGCTCGATGGTTAGAGGTGTTGCAATCAAGTACTTTTGATGTAAAATATCAGCCTGGGAAAACAAATGTAGTGGCTGATGCACTTTCTTGTCCACCTCACCTTGCTAATATCACAACTATGTCAACTTATTTGACAGAAGAAACTTTAGAAAAAGGATATCGCCAGGACAAGTATTTTGCACCAATTTTTGAAGCATTGAAAAATTCAGTGAAGAGTGATGAAAAACAAAAGGCACAAGCCATACATTATGAATTAAGAAATAACAAATTATATTTGAAACAAGGCCAACAACTTGTTATTCCTAAAAACAAAGAATTGCAAACTAGTTTGTTGCAAGAATATCATGACATTCCTATTGCTGGACACTTAGGAATTGATAAAACATATGAAGTTATTCAAAGAGATTACTTTTGGCCAAAATGGGAAAAAATATACAGAAATACATAACTAGCTGTGATTCATGCCAAAGAAACAAAAGTAACAATAAACAACCAGCTGGATTATTACAACCACTCTCTACACCATTGAAACGTTGGGAACAAGTAACAATGGATTTCATAGTGCAATTACCAACAACACATAAAGGATATGATGCAATTATAGTAATTGTAGACTGTTTATCAAAACATGCACATTTTTGTCCAACACATACATCTGTAACTGCACCAGAAGTTGCAAAGATTTTCTTTTCCACTATTTTCAAAAATCATGGTCTACCTCAAGTTATTATTTCAGATAGAGATGCAAAATTTACCAGTCGTTTTTGGAAAACATTATTTGAACAGGTAGGAACTAAATTGGCTATGTCAACTGCATTTCATCCACAAACTGATGGGCAAACAGAACGAATGAATAGGACATTGGAAGAAATGTTATGTGCATACTCATACAAACAAGACAATCATTGCTGTAATTTCTACAACTGCATATAAGTTAGATTTACCAGAAAATTTAAAAATACATTCTGTTTTTCATGCCTCTCTACTACATCAGGAAATTTTTTCTGACACAAGTTTACATCCATAAGTTTTAATATGAAATGATGTAATATTTCGCATTAAAAGGACGTAATATTTACACTTAATGTAATAATTGCATAATTTTTGTGCAATTTTTGCATAATATTACACTATTTACGTAAGTTTATGGCGGGCCCCATAATATTATGTAAATTTACAGCGGGAAAAGTTTCCTGATGTAAAACATTACTAAGAAACACCTGACAATTTCAATCAACCCACACCACCACCAGCAACCATTATTCCTGGAATAAAAGAAGAATACGAAGTAGAAAACATCCTTGATAAAAAGTTGGTGTGAACAAAACCACACTATTTGGTTAAATCCATTACATGATGCAACTTGGGAACCTGCTGAACATTTAAAGAATGCAGAAAGAAAAGTTAAAGAATTTGAATTGACAAGGACATCAAAACTTAAGGAGGAGAGAATGTAACAATTTAAATGATTATCGATTGATAATAAATAGACTAACTTATTTATATTATATTTTCATCTATTAATATTTTATCAATCTGTGTAATCTTAATTAATATATATAATGAACATTTTATGAAATAATAAAATAATAATTATCTCCGCACACAAAAATAAAAGTATTTGTTCATAAGAGTATTTAATGTTATTGGTTGGCTTTGGATTTTTTTTAATAACCTTTCCAATTTCTTCAACAAACTCTTTCACTGGTCTCTTTTTGGCAACATCCAACAGTGGTATTAAAAATTGTTTTACTTCAATTAATGATGAAACAGTGTCTTCCTGGATAAGTCGTTCATCTGAGTGGTCATCTACACTATTGATTAAATTTTTAATATCATGTCCTTCAATTGATTTGAGAAATGTTACAAATGTGCCCGCTTCTGATAATTCTTTGATTAAATTCCAACATTCATTACTAATTTTAAATTCTGTATTGAATTTATTAAAGAAACTTATTAAAACACCTAATGACAATTTCCCTTCATTCAAACTATTATAAATAATTCCAATTTGGTTTTCTTTATCATGTGAATCTTGAAAAATTTTAATGACTTGATCCAAATTTTTCAACCCTTCTTTATAATTAGATATTTGAGTAAGATACCAAATTGTTTCTTGGAATTTTCTCTCTTTAGATAATCGTTGAAAATCTTCCATCAGCTCAAGTTCTGATTTTATATCTTTAACATCTTTCCAAAAATCACCAGCATCTGAGCATGATAATTTTTCCCAATTTT